GTACGTGACCAAAGATTTTTGCTCCGGACGAGAATCTAGGAGATAAGCCAGGGGCACCCAACGACAATGTCCTTTCTATAAATACATGGAAAACGATAAGCACTGCCTTTTTGTACATTTCTCTCTGTAAAGGCTAGATTAGATTTTTCAGTTCCACTGGTTGAAAAAAATGCTTCTTGCAAATATGTCGCAAATTTATAAAAGACGGAGGAGTAAGGGCCTGATTACATGGAGATGGGGGAACCCAGTAGATGGAGTAACCCGCCTATCCATTTTTAATCTCTCATTTTAAGTTGATTACGTAGGTAGGGCTGCGGGTAGCCCAGTCTGCCAGACCGGGTAACCCTCCCAGCTGGGTTAGAATTTTGTCATGTAAACGTTTCAAGGTGGGGTAGCCTGCCTAGCCAGAGTCGAAGTCGTGATACATGAAATTCGCGCAAAATTCAATTTGGTGGTGGCTTTTATCATTATTAAAGGTAACAATAGAAAGCCACAGCACTGAAGGTTGCAGTAAGAGCAGCAAGTGAGTGTAGAAGTAGCATTAATCGCCAAAACACTTGGTTTGCAGACATTTTTCTTGTTTACGTGCTTAGCTACCATTCAATAATCTTGAGAAAGTGCACCATGGGATGGCGGGTTGTAAGATTGCATGTAAAGGAGGGTTATTGCTTTATCCCACCCAAGGGGGTTACCTCACCTACCTGGCGTCCCCCATAATTATACAATTACTTAAAAAAAACTTTCAAAAATATCTATTTTACTATTATACAGAATAAGGCACAAAGTTAAAATATTTTACTTTGTGATTTTTTATTTTCCCGACTACTTTTGTCATTACAAACATGTAAGCAAATACAAATTGTTAGAAGTAATAAAAAATGATTATAAAACTCAAACATAATGTTACGAAAAATTGTATTGCGTGACTAGCGTGACTTTCTAGAAGGTTCGCGAGAGTTCATAGTTTGTTTATTTTAGGATATTGTGTAAGCGTTTCTAAAAGCGGTATGTTTTGTAATCTTTCTATAATTAGACTATTTGGAAAGTTCCAGAATCTTATTGTAAAAGTATTTAAGTAGGCGAGCCCGAGTTAAGTTTTAACTAGTTTTCACAAGCGAAGAGAGTTTGACGTTGGTCGTGTTTAGTCAAGTGTGACGAAGGCAGAGTTTATTCAAGTTGGCGGAGGTCGTGTAAGTTTATCAAGATTAATTAAAGTTGGCGGAGGCCGTGTAAGTTTAACGAGTTACGTGCTGTTGTGGAGTTTTACTCAGTGGAAACTACGTTCATTTTTGGAATAAATCTTCTTGTTGCTGTTCCGACAACCCTGCGTTCAGTTTAGTTTGCAAGCTACCCGTCCTCTAAAAGATTACCCGCGTAACACATAATAATAAAAAGTAACGAGAAAATCGATACACTGAGTGTTATAGAGAGTCATTTCTTCCTATACCTTACATTTGACAGGGTGCAATATTTTGTCTTTTGACTCTCGAATACAAATACAAATAAATGAACAATTGGACGCCACGCACGAACAGCCGTTAGAAAAAAGTTCAAGGGTAGTAATTCCCTAAAGGGGTATGCTTCTCCAAGCATTTGCACATGCATTTGTAAGCGTTACGATAGCAGGACTCGGGACCACCGCTACAACTTCCAACAGATCTCATGCATTTAGCATTGATGGCATTGCAGGCTCGACAACAGTCGAACCGATAGAGCGCCAGGAACTTGCATCGATATCTGGGAGTCTTCTTGAACACCACTGTCGATCCCAAAACGCAGTTGACTGGCGTGTCCTCAAATTTGTGAAAACTTCCCTCCAACTATATTTAGACTGCAAGAAAAGCAAGGTCAGTCCTTCGAATCATTCATCTTTTTACTCCAAAATTAAAATTTACAAGCGAAAAAATAACAACAACAACAACAAAAATAAGCAGCTTGGAAGGTGGTGCTTCAAGATGTGGATTTTTTTTATACGGCAATCTGGGTTGTATTTTGTAGCTAAAATCCTCTGTGAAGTCTATTGAAATAACCTAAGAAGCAAGTTTGTTTCGCGAATTTCCTTAAAATAAGACGTTTGCCAGTTCTGATTGCTTACGTTAAATATGCTGGTACATCCAGCTTCTCATAAGATGGCTCACTATGGGCCAAGCACTTTTATTGTCGACTCGTCATTCTGGGAAGATGTTAAGAGAGCTGGAGGTTCGCCTCGGAATTCTAAGCTTGTCGTTTCAAGCAATAATGCTCTGTGGTCTGGACGGAAGAATCTCTTGACATATTCTTCAGTGCTGAAAGCGTTCACAAAAGCTAAAGCAAGGGAAAGAGTAACAAGGCATATACACGTCTTCATTGCTTCTCGTCGGCAAGGTAAGCAGCAAAAACTCGGTGGTATTGCCTCGCTCTGAGCTTCTCTTTGCTTCGCTGTATTTTTATGACAGATATATCGGTATAGATAATGTGTGGATATTGTCCCAGCGCTACCAATCATATTCGCTATTGAGTG